ACTCATAGCGACCCCTCCTTGGGTTTCCGAGGCAGTATCACTACGGAAGTAGATTGCCCCATCTTCCTTCCGAGGAGTGGCTGGTGGGTTCGAACCACCAGCCTTCTGGTGAGTTTGAACCGCTAGTTGTTTAACCTCTATGATATCTCAAAAGAGATCCACTTAAAAAACACCCTTCACTGTCCGGTCTCATTAACAAAGACAATCTATACCCAAATGGGATTATAACCATAGGCGTAGTGGTTAGGATTTACAATGCATATTAGTGAGGGTCACAATTCAATCCTTAATATTCTACCCTTTGACCTTCTAAAATCCATGTCCTTCCCACATGCAAAACACATTCACCTCATTGCATCTTCCCAAAAACTGTAAGTCAACTCCAAGTCCAAAATATGCCTTGACTCATCTAAGTAAAATATGAGTGAGACTTCAGCTATATTCCATCCTGGAGCAAAATTCCTTTTCCATCTGTGAACCTGTGAAATCTAGACTACAAGTTACACTTCCATAGTACAGTGTTGGAACAAGTACAGGGTAGACACTTCTATTATAAACGGGAGTAATTGGAGGGAAATAAGGAAGAGCATGCATCAAGCAAGTCCAAAACCTAGCAGAACAATTTACATTAGCTGTCAAGGCTTGAAAATAATCCTTTGTTCACTGTAACCATATGGGCAAAGGCCCTGTCCTCCTGACTCTGAGTGTTGGCCATGTGCTCTAGATTTTGAGTGGAGATCCCTCTGCTCTGCGCTTCAGCTCCGTTTTCCAGGCCCACTGGAGCTGCAGCTCTGTTCCTTTGACTTTGTTGTTGTTAGGTGCCCTTGAGTTGGCTCCAAGTCATAGCAACCCTATGTATAACAGAACAAAACACTGCCTGGCCCTGTGCCAACCTTACAATCCTTGCTATACCTAAGCCTATCGTTGGAGCCACTGTGTCAATCCATCTCATTGAGGGCCTTCCCCTTTTTCATTGACCTTCTACTTTACCAAGCTTGATATCCTTCTCCAGGGAATGGTTCCTTCTGACAACATGACTAGAGTTGTTGTTGTTGTTATGTGCCGTCGAGTCAGCCCCAACTCATAGCGACCCCTCCTTGGGTTTCCGAGGCAGTATCACTACGGAAGTGGGATTGCCCAACCTTCCTTCCGAGGAGTGGCTGGTGGGTTTGAACCACCAGCCTTCTGGTTAGCAGTCAAGTGCTTTAGCCATGACTAGAGTAGGTGAGACCAAATCTGGCTATTCTCGCTTCCAAGGAGCATTGTGGCAGCACTTCTTCCAGGACAGATTTGTTAGTTCTTCTGACAGTCCATGGTACTTTATATTCTTCACCAACACCACAACTCAAAAGCATCAACCCTTGTTTAGTCTTCCTTATTCATTGTCTAGCTTTTACATGCGTATGAGGTGATTGAAAACACCATGGATCGGGTTAGGCACACGTTAGTCTTCAAAGAGATATCTTTTCTCTCCAGCACTTTAAAGAGATCTTTTGCAGCAGATTTGCCCAGTGCAGTAAGTCGTCCGGTTTCTTGACTGCTGTTTCCATTGGTGTTGATTGTGGAATCAAGTAGTATGAAATCTTTGACAACTTCAATCTTTTCTTCATTTATTGTGATGTTGCTTATTGGTCCAGTTGTGAGGATTTTTGTTTGCTTTATGTTGAGGTATGATCCATACTGTAAACTGTAGTCTTTAATCTTCATCAGTAAGTGCTTCAAGTTATCTTCGCTTTCAGCAAGGAAGGTTGTGTTGTCTGCATATCACAAGTTATTAGTGAGTCTTCCTCTAATCCTGATGCTGTGTTCTTCTTATAGTCCGTTTTCTTGGATTATTTGCTCAGCATATAGATTGAGTAAGTATGGTGAAAGGATACAACCCTGACACACTCCCTTCTTGATTTTAAACCATCTAGTATCCCCTTGTTCTATTGAACA